TGAATCATGGAACACTACATCAAAAACTAATGATGTAATGTATGGTGATTAACATAACAATAAAAAACGAATGAACAAGGCATGGGGATGAAAGGTACAGCATCGAGAATATAGTCAGTGGTATTGGGGTAGTGTTGTGTGGTGACAAATGGTAGACACTTGTGATGAGCATGGCATAACATATGGAGTTGTTTGACTCACTGTGTTGTATGCTGAAACATTGTCAACTATACTTGACTGGAAAACATTTTTTAATAATATATTTAATGATGGATAAATAAAAGTAAATAAATAAAATAACAGGACCTGGAAAAAAAATCTAAGGGTGCAGAATATATTTGAAATATATAAAAGTGAGAATTTGATAAACCAGACAGAAAGCTATTATAATACTCCATATTTGGATGAAAAGATGGAAGTATTTTTTAAATTCATCAGATTAAAGTACATTTTGGAAATACCAAGCATCTAAGAGATAGGATAAACTACTGGAAAAAGCCTGGCTGCAGAAGAGAGAATCTCTAGTTTCTAGTAAAGTATATATTATTTGTGCTAAATACTATATTACTCAATAAAGTATGATTCTCATACTCTAGCAAGTAGAGATTTTTTCTCTATGTCAAAATTCTGATCCCACTATCACCCTTCTTTTTGGTGTAATATTCCAAGTGTTAGATTTTTGTGACTGCCTCAATTTGAAGCCTTTGAGAAGCAGAATTCACCAAAATATTACTTTTAGCAGATTGGCTATTCCTTTATGTCCAAAGCTTTTTTGCTCTATAATTAAAATATCAATTCTTTCTTACAGAGACATGTGACACAGTCTGGGGGTAATCGTAAATTCAAGTGCACTGAATGTGGAAAAGCTTTCAAATACAAACATCATCTAAAAGAGCACTTAAGAATCCACAGTGGTAAATATTTGTTTTCTTTCTACACCTTGAATATCATAGTATATGTGGTCATAAATAAATCCCTTATAATGTGGTCTACACACATGGTCAGAAACTCTTTGCTTTTCTTGTAGAATAAAGACTAACCTGGAGAAATTTTCTGTTTATAAATAGTATTTTATTGGAGTCTTAATCTTTAACTGAAGCATATTAAGCTAATATAATATGACATACTCCAAATTTCCTGATCAGAATATAGCATGTTTTAACAAGAAGTACAACCTCCTTGAGCTTTCTGAGGAATACTAATTTCATTGCCTCTTTTGCACAGTTAACTAGGAATGAAAAAGGAAATAGAGGTACGATTTGCACAAGAAAGTAAGGACGCAAAGACGTTCTGTACGTGAGAGAAATAGAAGTGGAAACTCCAGATAGGAAGTGGTCAAGGGTGATGTGGAGTCACCCAGACAGGGCAGCATTGAAAATTTAAAAGAAAAATGTGTTCACCTATCATTTCATCTTTCTATTCCACATTCTTTTCTAAATTTTACTTACAAAATGATATTATATTATCAAAAATGTCTGTTTTAGAAACTTAGAAACAAAAAGAGCTGTATTTGCGTGTCTTTAGGGGCTCTACTTCAACAAAAGCTGTAATGAAAACTTGGTAGCATCTCACATTGCACTATGACATCTATTCATCTGATTAATTTTGGTATGTTATTTTAGATTTAAATAGTAGTGAAAAAGAACTGTTTTCTAATTAATGAGAAATGATGGGTGTCTGCACACTGCTTATTTTGTGAAAATGATTGTATTGACATTTACATCTTATAGACATCCTATAAAAAGAGTACAGCGGGTGGCTTTGTGAGAGGTGACTGGTGTGATATCTGTGTTTTATTTTGGAACTACATTTCTAGAAGTTTCACTGTCTTGTCTGTTGAGGGCTAAATAATGTTAAAGTTACCAATTTGTTTAAACCAAAATTCTTGCAAAAACATTTATTTATTTTCACACTTTAATATTCCTGGAAATAAGAAGTTGTCTTTTGCAGTCTGCCACAAAATCCTATTTATTAACTTCTGGGCTATCAAAAAATTTTCATCAAGAATATATTTTTAATGACCTGCTTTCTTGCTACAGATGATTTGAAGTTATTGATAGAGATCTAGCTAATTCAAGGGAGTTTTCTTAAATGTTGAGATTGGGGTAGAGGAGGGAAAATAAAATTTAGAGCAAGATTCATGTACAGAATGAATGTCATATGGTCCTATTGCAGTTATATAGGATGTGGATCTGTCAGACCTGGTGATGATACGGAATTGGGAAGCATGCATCACACGAGAGATTACAATGCAGGGCAGAAATGGAAGTTGATATTTAATCACAAAACTCTGCATTGATATTCAAAAATCAGTCTCAATCAAGTAGTAAGCAGGGAGCAACAGTCTGTAGTACTGACAGAAGAGTTTTAGGAGTTTGGATGGACAAGCACTTGATAGAAGCTTGGTGATGGTACGCTGCTACCACCGCGGCTGAAGTAGCTGGTGCAAATTTAGGCCACATCGTGGAGCACAGAGCGTCCGCCGTACTCTGCACTGTCCATTCATTATGTGTTTATAGGATAGTCTTACCCTCAAGGGGAAGTAATATGAGACGTATATACCTTTAATACAGCAAGAAATTTTAATTCAAAAATATATTAGGAAAATAAAGTAACACAGGCATGAAGTAAACATGAAATAAAATGGATACTATGACATGCCAAGCACATGCTGGAAGTGGACCACACATTAGACTCTAAGGTTTAGGAACTCAGAAACTGCAATCAGTAACCAAGACCCAGACTGTCTGTAAGTGAAAGGAATCAGTCACTAGGAAAAGTACAACTCTTCCTGCTACAAAGCCCATAGGGAAGCAAAATGCATTTGATATCATTTTCCAAAATATCCTTAAAATAGTACAGCAGAAAATTTGATAGGGTTTTCTTTTTAAAGTAAGATTCTCCATGGGACGCCTGGGTGGCTCAGTCGGTGAAGCGTCTGCCTTCGGCTCAGGTCATGATCCCGGGGTCCTGGGATTGAGCCCCGCATCGGGCTCCCTGCTCCACGGGAGGCCTGCGTCTCCCTCTCCCACTCCCCCTGCTTGTGTTCCCTCTCTCACTGTGTCTCTCTCTGTCAAATAAAGTCTTTAAATAAATAAATAAAAATAAAGAAAGATTCTCCAATAGAAAACCAGTGATATTTCACCAAAATGCAGTTTAGAAAAAGCATTTCTCCAGGGTAGCCACTTGGATACAATCCAGGTATACAGCTCTCAGATGGTCTGGTTTATTCCAAAGGAAGATTTCTGAGTTGGGGCTTCTCAGTGTCATTCCAGGACTGGTACCAGTCTGTAAACTTTTTTGAGACTGGTTCTTGAAGAGCTAAATATAGAAATTGAGAGTAATTTAGAAACTATTAGACGAAGAAAATGCTGTGATAATTTTATTATATTTTATACAATATTGATCTTACAGTAGATTGGAAATTTAAAACAAAAAACTGGGGGCACAGAAGGTCCTTCACCACAGATAGTTTTGAAAGAGCTGTTTAGAGTATCGAATAATGGATGAGCTTCATATCCTTCAAGAAACCTCTATAATCTTTTTTTCTCAGCTCAGTTTTTAACCATGATCTTTATATTATAGTCCCTAAAATTACCTGGATTGTTGCTATCTTCCGACACCATTAAAACGAGCCATATGCAGAGTCATGTGTTTTAGCCATCATCTGAACTCCTCATGTGGGAGCTGAGCTATGATGAGGAGCAGGTCACCTCACCTCTACTCAGAGGTGAGACAAAAAAGGCTCCTGTTCCCGGGCTCTGATCCCCCCCAGAAATAACTTGGGTTTGTTCCATAGCCCTATGAACTTTAGCCTGCCCTATGAACTTTACGTAAAAGTTTTTACGTAAGATGCAACCAAACGTCCACCTCAGCCATTACAAAAAAGAAATCAGTATTCATAGGACATCTGACTTTTTACAGCACAACTTCACCTCCAGGGTTTAACAGTTGCTAGACAGACAAATTAAGTGATGTACTTTAGCTATAAACCATAAAGCTATAAAGTTAGAAACAAGGGGTTTTCCAACAAACATAGCGGATTTGGCTTTAGAACAATTGTTCTGCACTTTCTTTCTGGCAATGATAAAATATCAGGTAATCCCCAACAATAATACTGATGACTAGCACTTATTGAGTACTTAACTATGTACAGCCACATTCTAGTTATTTGTGTACATTAACTCATATAGTCCCAATGATAGCCCGATGAGGTAGATGCTATTACTTCTTCCCTTTCTACTGATGAGAAAATGGAGGCTCAGAGAGCTTACGTAACCTATCCAGAGTCACTCAGCTAGTCCATGGCAAAGCCAGGGCCCCAGTATAAGTATCCTGACTCCAAAGCTGTTGCCTTAGCCACTGGGCTCCTCTATCTCCCTGTCCGTAAAGATAAAAATAATCTGTGGGGCGCCTGGGTGACTCAGTTGGTTAAGCATCTGCCACCTTCTGCTCAGGTCATGATCTCCAGGTCCTGGGATCAAGCCCCATGTCAGGCTCCCTGCTCAGCAGAGAGTCTGCTTCTCCCTTTCCCTCTGCCCCACCGCTCCTGCTCTCTCCCTCTCCCTTTCTCCTTCTCTCAAATAAATAAAATCTTTTTTAAAAATAATCTATATTATAAATTCTTATTTTCCAAGTGTCTCTAACAAGAGAACAAGCATATGGCTCATCTAAAAAAGTTATGCAAGAATTTAAAATGTTAAAATAGAGATACTAGAACACATCCCTTGCCTTACACCCCTTCCCCCCAGAAATTTACCTGATGCAGTTTGAGTATTGAATCATATTTCAGGCATCCCATTGGAAAGATACTGATAAACTGGAGAATTTCCAGAGATGAGGTAACAAGTGGGTAAGTGGGAAGGGTTCTAAAAACCATGTCCCATGAGGAGTCTTTGAAGGACCTGGGTATATTTAGCCCACACAAGGGAAGTTTAAGGATACAGATGACTGCTCTTCATCAGTTTGAAAGTCTGACTTTTAGAAGAAAAGTTAGACTTGCTCTGTGTGGCATCAGAGGGAAGGCTAGGACAGGAAAGTAGGCATTATAACAAGCGAATTCTGGCTTAGTACTCAACCTATCTCTCCAGAGAATTAACTTTTTAAAAGATGCACTAACATGTATTAAGACCACACTAAGAGTTTTGCTATATTATGTCATATAACTGCTACAACAATCCAGTGAGGATGTGTGTACATTTATTTACACACCTAAACACTGAGGCTTGGAAAGATTAAGAAAACAGCCAGGGGCACCTGGGGGGCTCAGTCAATTGAGCATCCAACTCGTAATTTCAGCTCAGGTCATGATCTCATGGTCATGAGACTGAGCCCCGTGTTGGGCTCCATGCTCAGTGTGAGTCTGCTTAAGATTCTCTCTCTCCTCCTCTTTCTTCTCCTGCCCCACTCGTGACCCCACCTTTCTCTCTAAATAAATAAATAAATAAATAAATAAATAAAATCTTTTTAAAAAACTAGTGGCAGAGCTAGGTCTTGAACCCAAATTCATGATCCTCAGCAGAACCAAACTAGACCATCTTCCATAGAGCTGTCCAGCAAGTAATAACCTCCTTTTAATAAAGGAGCTTAAGCAGGAGACTAGCTAAAGTCAAAGGTGATATAAAATGAACTCTTTTACTGTACAGGAGGTCCTCTTAGATCCCTTCCAGTTCTAATATCTTATTCTTCAAGTAATTATACTTTCAGAAAATATAACTTACTTTCTAAAAACTTTACAACACTGAAATTACATTATTAGAAGAACTTACATTGAGTTTCTCACTGCTTTCATTTTCATTCTTAAAAAGAACAGAAGAAAGAAAGAGTTTTATCTTGATACTGAGTAGATAAATAGCATCACCATATTCCATAATTTTGCAATTAGTCATTCATTCATCCAAAAAAGGTTTATTGAGCATTTTTGACCTACACTTCAATAGGTACAAGGCATAAGTGGCACATGAGACTCAAGTTCCTATCTTATTGAAACTGATAGTCTTTAACCTATAAATTATAAATGAATGAACGATAAATATAAATTAATATTAAGGCAAAAAATTAGGGTTGTCTGAAAGTATTCCATTTGGCTCCATGCTTCTCAAAATTTTCTACTGAAGTATCCCTAACAGCCAACAAGAATGAATGTCTTCTCTCCTGGAAGGTCAAGGAAGCAACTTGACGTAAGCCCCTACAAGCAAGGAGCTTCTTTGACATTGTGGTTTTTTCCTAACAATTCACATGAATATTGTCTGTTTCTCCATGGTATAATCTGTGTTTTAATATTAAAATGTTTTAAATTACTGTAACCGCTGTCAATAAAATTGAAACTACAAGAAAGTTTTGCATACCCACTAGAACATTGCCTTCTAGCTCCAGGAATGCATACCTCCCAGTTTAATAAGCCAAGGCTGATAACAATACCTCATATGGAAAGTTTTCTGCCCATTGAGAAAGATCTTTTCAAGGAAACCTTAAAACCTTGTGGATATGGGAAGGATAGGTATTCGTACTTGTTAAGTCTTATATAAGGGAGATTTTACTTACTTTTCTTTCCTCTAATATTAATTTCTCCTGCAGATGGTTAAGTATAGTGAAATACAGAAAAATTACATAGGTAGATGAAATAGGGTAAGAAAAAAAATTACTTGGAAGAGAGATGTACATTTGACCCTTGAACAATGCAGGGTTATGGGAGCTGGGCCCCCATGCAGTCAAAACTCCACGTATAACTTTTGACTCCCCAAACCTTAACTACTGCTAGCCTACTGCTGACCAGAAGCCTTACCTGTAACAGAAACAGTCAATTAATACACGTTTTGAATGTTATATGTATTATATACTGTACTGTTACAGTAGAGTAAGCAAGAGAAAAGGGTATTAAGAAAACTCATTAAGGAAGAGAAAATACATTTGCAGTACTGTTGGGTATTTATCAAAAAACATCCCCGTGTTAAGTCAGCCCATGCAGTTCAAACCCATGTTGTTCAAGGGTCAACTAGAATTATTTTTGGCATTTGAGAATTATTTGAAGTTTTAAAGGTTAGCAGGAATATTATACACATATGCTGAAAAGACTTCCTTACAGGTTAGCACGTGTACTACAGACGAAGGTTTTGCTAGTCTTTATAACATTTATGTCAGTTTTGAACTTAACATGAATATTCTAAATAAAATTGTATCACAAGATACATGGAAATCTCTTTTTAAATCGATACTGTTTGTTTTAAGGAAAATGTGGATACATGAAAACTTACATGTAATAATTCAGCAAATATAATTTTTTTTGTTTAGGAGAGAAGCCATATGAATGCCCAAACTGCAAGAAACGTTTTTCCCATTCTGGGTCTTATAGTTCACACATAAGCAGTAAGAAATGTATCAGCTTGATGCCTGTGAACGGGCGACCAAGAACAGGACTCAAGACGCCTCAGTGTTCCTCGCCATCTCTTTCGGCATCACCAGGCAGTCCCACACGACCACAGATACGGCAAAAGATAGAGAATAAACCCCTTCAAGAGCAACTTTCTATAAACCAAATTAAAACTGAACCTGTGGATTATGAATTCAAACCCATAGTCGTTGCTTCAGGAATCAACTGTTCAACCCCTTTACAGAATGGGGTTTTCAGTGGTGGTGGCCCATTACAGGCAACCAGTTCTCCTCAGGGTGTGGTACAAGCTGTTGTTCTGCCAACGGTCGGTTTGGTGTCTCCCATAAGTATCAATTTAAGTGATATCCAGAATGTACTTAAAGTGGCAGTAGATGGTAATGTAATAAGGCAAGTTTTGGAGAATAATCAAGCCAATCTTGCATCCAAAGAACAAGAAACAATCAGTGCTTCATCCATACAGCAAGGTGGCCATTCTGTTATTTCTGCCATCAGTCTTCCTTTGGTCGATCAAGATGGAACAACCAAAATTATCATTAACTACAGTCTTGAGCAGCCTAGCCAACTTCAAGTTGTTCCTCAGAATTTAAAAAAAGAAAACCCAGTCCCCACAAACAGTTGCAAAAGTGAAAAGTTACCAGAAGATCTTACTGTTAAATCAGAGAAGGACAAAAGCTTTGAAGGAGGAGTGAACGATAGCACTTGCCTTCTGTGTGACGAATGTCCAGGAGATATTAATGCACTTCCAGAATTAAAGCACTATGACCTAAAGCAGCCTGCTCAGCCTCCTCCACTCCCTGCAGCAGAAGCTGAGAAGCCCGAGGCCTCTGTTTCATCGGGTGGAGATGGCAGTCTGTCTCCCAGTCAGCCACCTTTAAAGAACCTCTTATCTCTTCTAAAAGCATATTATGCTTTGAACGCACAGCCAAGTGCAGAAGAGCTCTCAAAAATTGCCGATTCGGTAAACCTCCCACTGGATGTAGTAAAAAAGTGGTTTGAAAAGATGCAAGCTGGACAGATTTCAGTGCAGTCTTCTGAACCATCTTCTCCTGAACCAGGCAAAGTAAATATCCCTGCAAAGAACGATGAGCAGCCTCAATCTACAAACGCAAATGAACCCCCGGACAGCACAGTAAATCTACAAAGTCCCCTGAAGATGACTCACTCTCCAGTTTTACCAGCGGGATCAACCGTCAATGGTTCCAGAAGTAGTCCATCATCCCCATCACCTCTAAACCTTTCCTCATCCAGAAATACACAGGGTTACTTGTACACAGCAGAAGGTGCACAAGAAGAGCCACAAGTAGAACCTCTTGATCTTTCACTACCAAAGCAACAGGGAGAATTATTGGAAAGGTCAACTATCACTAGTGTTTACCAGAACAGTGTTTATTCTGTCCAGGAAGAACCCTTGAACTTGTCTTGTGCAAAAAAGGAGCCACAAAAGGACAGTTGTGTTACAGACTCAGAACCAGTTGTAAATGTAATCCCACCAAGTGCCAACCCCATAAATATTGCTATACCTACAGTCACTGCCCAGTTACCCACGATCGTGGCCATTGCTGACCAGAACAGTGTTCCATGCTTGCGGGCACTAGCTGCCAATAAGCAGACTATTCTGATTCCCCAGGTGGCTTACACGTACTCGACTACAGTCAGCCCTGCAGTCCAGGAACCACCCTTGAAAGTGATCCAGCCAAATGGGAATCAGGTAAAGAAAAGGCCCCTATCCCAAAGCTATTTACTAAAATGCTAGTTTGACTTCTTTCGGTGAAATTTTTCAAATAAAAATCAGTCTCTGTAGAGCCGAGCAGATTGTTACAAACTATCATTTTTGAGAGGAAATAGATGAACATTTGCTTTAACTTTCATAGCATCTCGCCTTCAGTTTCTTACTAATCCCAGGTATGGTTATCAACTACAGTTGTGTTATTCTCCTGGGGAAATGAGAAGTCTCAGCTAAAGACTTGACTATCTGAAGCTTGAAACAGAAGAAAAATTGGAATACTCACCAATTGGACTTCTGTTTCTAGAGTTATATTCCCAAATTAGTAACAGTTTCTGCTGTATCATCATTAATGCATGAAAATACATTCCCCTTCACAGACATTTCACACCAGCAAAACTGAGCTATTACTTTTTATGTGTTAACACCTATATTTATTAAAGGCTTTAATTAAACAAGACTTAAGTATACAAAGAGCTCACCTAGTGAGTTTGCTGATCACTTTATGAGCTGTAAACTGAAACAGTATTCAGTCATAATTAATATATATGAACCTATATGTGCATTTTCCTCCTTACCTTCCCCCCCAAATCCATGATGCAGTTTTAGATAGAACCATTTTGTGTACTATTGTGTGCCTCATTATCCAGACTTTTTCTAGGTTACTAACCTTGATGGCCTCCCAGTTTTTTTCATCGGTTTCTTATTGAATCAACCATATACTAGAGATAAATGTGATCTTTCATCCAAATATTTGCTATAAGTAGGTACAGCTGAAATAATTACAACATCCTGTTCAAATGTATATCTGCTGCTTTTTTTTCCCCCTTAAAAATTGCTACTGATTGGGTTTCCTGCAATTGTGGTTACTCTTGAAAAAGACTCTCACACAACTAATGAATTCATATAGACTCTCGGTGTTTAAAACACTGTGCACACCTTTGAATAATAAAGGGGGACCCACCAACATTTCACTTAATCATATGGCCACGTCAGATAGCAATGAAAGTAGTGAAGTTACTTTAGCACAAACTGGCAGCTCACAAACCATCCAGGCAAATGGCCGCGCCTCTCCCACTTTGCAAAACTATAAGAAATGTTGTGAAAAACCTTTGAGCTTTTAGACTATTTGTGGGCTTAGAGGCAATAGAATGGAAGACTTTAGGAAAGACATAAGGATCTTGAGGGACCCAACTCCACTACCAGTCATTGTTTACCTACATGAGAGCTTCCTACACATTACCGCCCTGGGACTGCCTGAAATGTTTTATTCCACTGAAATTCTGAAGATTTATTTTGTCTAGCAAGTATTCTTCCAAAATAGAGACCCTCCTGCATTGTTTGCCATCTTTTTCCTTAGCAAAGTGGTAGAGCAAACCCCACTCTTTTCAAAGAAACCATGGAGGTCAGTTCATAGACTTCTGAAGTTCCGGAGGATACAATTGAAAGACCACCTTTAAAAATAGAATCTTGGGGCGCCTGGGTGGCTCAGTCGTTAAGCGTCTGCCTTCGGCTCAGGTCATGATCCCAGGGTCCTGGGATCGAGCCCCTCATTGGGCTCCCTGCTCAGCGGGAAGTTTACTTCTCCCTCTCCCACTCCCCCTGCTTGTGTTCCCTCTCGCTGTGTCTCTTTCTGTCAAATAAATAAAATCTTTCTAAATAAATAAATAAATAAAAATAGAATCTTAATTTTTGCTTAGTAAAACCCAGAAGGAAAACAATGAAGGCAAATAATGCAGTTAGAGATTGGTGATGATGTAGCAAACTCATAATTTAAAATTTTCTGCAAATTTCTCACAAAGTCATGATTTGTTTGAAACCAGGTAAATTGTGTTAGTATACATTTTACATTCTTTCTTTTCATCAGTTGATCACTTGTTTTTGTCATCGTTGTGACTCTTTTGCCCCCAACCTCACTTTTTTCTTTATCAACCCCCACCTCGCATCCAGCCCCCCGCCCTTGGAGCCTGTCTGCTGCGATGAGTAGTATTCCTGCTTTGGTCAAGCTATTGAAAGTATAAATCAAAGTAGTGTTTTAACCTGTGCTTTTATATATGTCTCTTGCTTACCTTTTAATTTGAAATTAAATGTTCTTCTTTTCTTTCTTTAGGATGAAAGGCAAGACACTAGCTCAGAAGGAGTATCAAATGTAGAGGACCAGAATGACTCGGATTCTACACCACCCAAAAAGAAAATGCGGAAGACAGAAAATGGAATGTATGCTTGTGATTTGTGTGATAAGATATTCCAAAAGAGTAGCTCACTATTGAGACATAAATATGAACACACAGGTATGTCGCTGAACCTGACAGCTTTTGAAAAATGACTCTCTAACCCTTTCCGCAAACTGAAGTGCCCCCAAAAGCCTTCGGAGGATTTTGTGTCATGGCTGTGTTCTTATTTTGCAGGTAAGAGACCGCACGAGTGTGGAATCTGTAAGAAGGCATTTAAACACAAACATCATTTGATTGAACACATGCGGTTACATTCTGGAGAAAAGCCCTATCAATGTGACAAATGTGGAAAGCGTTTCTCACACTCTGGGTCTTATTCCCAACACATGAATCATCGCTACTCCTATTGCAAGCGAGAGGCGGAGGAGCGCGATAGCACGGAGCAGGAGGGGACGGGACCGGAAGTCCTGGCCGGCGAGCACGGGGGGGCCCGGGCATCTCCCTCACAGGCCGACTCGGATGAGAGAGAGAGTCTGACGAGGGAAGAGGATGAAGACAGTGAAAAAGAGGAAGAGGAGGAGGAGGACAAAGAGATGGAAGAACTGCAGGAAGAGAAAGAATGTGAAAAACCGCAAGGGGAGGAGGATGAGGAGGAGGAGGAGGACGAGATGGAGGAGGAGGAGGGGGAAGAGGCAGAGAATGAGGGAGAAGAGGCAAAAACTGAAGGTCTGATGAAGGATGATGAAGCTGTAAATCAAGTGAGCAGCTTCGAACAAAAAGTGAGCAAGAATAGTGAGCAGGTGTCTGAAGAAAAAACAAATGAAGCCTAATAGTTTTTCTAGAAGGAAAATACATTCTAATTGGTAATGAAGTTTGTTCTATATTATACATGCTTTTCATGGGAACACAGTAACCTGTATACTGTGGTTTCTGTTCACTACTGTGTAAAGTAAAAATTTAAAAAAATACAAAATACAAAAAAAAAAAAAAAACCCACACAAAAAAAAAAAATCCGGGTGTGCCTGATCTCAGACCTAGTAATTTTTCATGCATTTTTCAAAGTTAGGAACAAGTTTGTAACACGAAGCAGATTAGAAAACTTTAATGACTCGGAAAGCAAAGATTTAACAGGTTAAAGGAAACTGATTAATTAGATAAGCATCTGGCATTGTTTCATTTTGTCAGTATTATCACTCTTACGTTGGTTTATTCTTAAGCTGTACAATTGGGAGAAATTTTATAATTTTTTATTGGTAAACGTATGCTAAATCCGCTTCAGTATTTTATTATGTTTTTTAAAATGTGAGAACTTCTGCACTACAAAATTCCCTTCACAGAGAAGTATAATGCAGTTCCAAACCGTGCTAACTACCTTTTATAAATTCAATCTAGAAGGTAGTAATTTCTAATATTTAGATGTCATAGTGGAGTATTATTTCAAGTGTATTGTTAGCCTTAAGAAAGCAGCCGATAGAAGAACTGAAGTTTCTTACTCATGTGGTTTAAAATGAAGTTCAAAAGATTGTCATTGAGTTCTGATTGCAGGGACTAACAGTGTTAATCCTGGGAAGGGTAGCAGAGTCGTCAGAATCAGTGTTCGTAATTGTGTTTGAGTATGTGGTGACAAATATGAAGGATATGATATGAAGCTTTGTATCTCCTTTGGCCTTAAGCAAGACCTGTGTGCTGTAAGTGCCATTTATCAGTATTTTCAAGGCTCTAACCCGCCTTCGTTCAATGTGTGGCCTACAATAACTAGCATTTGTTGATTTGTTTATTGTATCAAAATTCCAAATAAAACTTAAAACCACTGACTCTGTCAGAGAAACCTAAACACTGGGACATTTCATCCTTTAATTCCTCAGTATTCATTTTGTGTTAATTGACTTTCAAAATTTCTCTACAGAAATGAAAGGGAAATTTTCTAATCTGCTCTGTCCATGTACTTGCATTTCAGACATGGACATGCCATTGTTATTTGGCTCATAACTGTTTCCAAATGTTAGTTATTATGGACCCAGTTTATTAACAACATTAGCTGATTTTTACGTATCAGTATTATTTTATTTCTTTTAGTTTATAGATCTGTGCAACATTTTTGTACTGTATGTCTTCAAACCTGGCAGTATTAATACCCTTCTTACTGACATGTACTTTTAGTTTTAGAAAACTTTTATATTTATGTGTCTTATTTTTATATTTCTTTATTTATTACACAGTGTAGTGTATAATACTGTAGTTTGTATTAATACAATAATATATTTTAGTATGAAAATTTGGAAAGTTGATAAGATTTAAAGTAGAGATGCAATTGGTTCTCTTGCATTGAGATTTGATTTAACAGTGTTATGTTAACATTTATACTTGCCTTGGACTGTAGAACAGAATTTAAATGGGAATGTATTAGTTTTACAACTACAACCAAGTCATTTTACCTTTACCCAGTTTTTAATATAAAACTCTTAAATTTTGAAATTCACTGTGTGACTAATAGCATGATGCTCTGCAGTTTTATTAAGAGATTAGCCTAACCATAAAACTCTCATTTCCTTAGTAAGCCAAATTAGGATAACCTTATATAAACAGTGTTGGGAACAATGTTTAACATTTTGTGCCAATTTGTTCCTGTATTCATGTATGTAAGTTACAAATCTGATTCTTCATTTTTAAGTTCCTTGTTACACCATGGTCATTTTCTAGTTTTTTACCAGACTCCCCCATCTCACAATAAAATGCATCAACAAGCCTGACCTGCTGTCATTCTTTTCATTATTATCAAGATTTTCTTTGGAAAGCTCTCTGAAACGGGGTATTGCACAGTCATCCTGCACTCAGTTTACCTTGGGCTGAATGTGGGTAACAAACTAAATGTTTTCGACATTCACCACTAAATCATGGACTTCCCTGTGGCTGAATGTTTCTGGGAAGATGAGAGTTGGCAACTCAAGGCTTCCTCAGAGGTTGCTCCCTCTTCCTGAAACCTTCATCGCACCCCCTTATGATCCTGTGACTTCTCATCCTCAGGTCACTTCAGGGAAGCCGGGGTGTAGATGCCTTTCCTCTGTACGTTCCTCGTACCTTTCTTGCCACAGCTCTTACGCAGTTATTTTATTCCCTCCCCACTAGGAAGAGGAACCATATCTACCAGAGTCACTCTCACATCCCCAGTGCCTAGCAGAGTGCCTGGCACTAGCAGGTACAACAGATTTTATTGAATGAAAATGTAATTTGCATGTTAACAGAGCTCAGCTATGTCTTTACTACTCTCTTGCCTCTAATCCAAGAATATGTATATTAAATAATTCTAGCAATCTAATATTTTTCTTACTCAGGTCCTACTAAACATTTGACGTCATAGACAGTAAATTATGCTGCCTTTTTCAATAGAATGCCTTACTATTCTGATTTGAGAGTTTATTTCTAGGTGTCTTTCTGATGCTTTCCCTCATGGGACATGACACAAGCATTCAAAGCCTGTAGATATGACTGCTTCCGGTATGAACGATGTGACCAATTCTAGGACCCACTTCTGTTTCTATGACCCCACATTCCTAAGTCCTCATTAACGTCATGTTGCTTCATTTCTTCTGTCACTGAGAACAGCTACCCAATAAACAAACACCATGTAGGATTAGGAAATAAGAATAACCCTTCCTAGGAGGCCTTTATACAGCAATCACTGTAATAAGAAGCTCAAAAAGGCGGTGCTTGACATATTGATAAATGGCTAACAAAGGAATCTAGCTATTATCAGAGAAGTTTTGGAAAGGAAGACAAGTGAACACTTCCCAGTATTTGCCTAAATCACATAACAATTGAGACATATGTTATTTATTTGTGCCATGTAAAGGTGCTTCACTAATATTATCAAAATTAATTTTCATAAAATACATATAAAAACCACGTGCTCATGAATCACACACACACACATATTAATACCAGAATAAGGATTTAAACATAGGCTTATCTGGCTCTAAATCCATGTTCTTAACTAGCTTGTATCACATCTCCTATAAGAAGAGCTCACACTAATTTAAACTCGAACTTGGCCTTAGAGAATATGAGAAGAAAATGTCACCAAGACCAATATACATTTCATAACAGGATGAAAAAGGAAAGGAGGGGCATGAGATTTTTCAAATCTGTGTGCAAACTTTAAAATTAGCCTTGAAAACATGAAACTACAGTAACTTAGTTTTCTCCTCTTAAGATCAAGGGAAGACATACTAGGACAATCACAATATGGACTTTGTCTCTGAACCTTAAGAAAAAGCAGAAGCTCCTCTGCTCTAATGAGCAAATACATTCCATTCAACACAGCAGAATACACATATTTTTTTTTCCCAATAGCACATGGGACATTCATAAAGAGAAACCATATTACGGGCCATAAAACAACTCTCAAATTCAAAAAAATTGCAAATAAAATGTTTTCTCAGACTACAAAAAAATTAAACTAGAAATCTATAACAGAAATATATCTAGAAAATCCCCCAAAATTATTGGAAATAATACAAACACGTTTCTAAGTAACCCATGGGTAAAAAAAGAAATTAACAATTATAAAATAGGGTGAGCTAAATGAAAATGCACTATATCAAAACTTATAGTGTGCAGCAAAAGCAGTGCATATAAGAAAATTTATAGCATTAAATGCTTATATTAAAAGAAAAATAGAGGGCTCAAGTATCTAACCTACCTTAAGAACTAGAAAAAGAATAAAATTAAATCCAAACCAAGCAGAAAGGAAGCAATAATAAAAGACTAGTGGGGATGCCTGGGTGGCTCTGTCATTAAGTGTCTGCGTTCGGCTCAGGTCATGATCCCAGGGTCCTGGGATCGAGTCCTGCATCGGGCTCCCTGCTCGGCGAGAAGCCTGCTTCTCCCTCTTCCTCTGCCTGCCGTTCCCCCTGCTTGTGCTCTCTCTCTCTCTGGCAAATAAATAAATAAAATATTTTTTAAAAAGACAAATTAATGGCATAGGAAACAAAAATAATAAATCAATGAAAAAGAATAAATCAATGAAATCAGGACCTGATTCTTCAAAAAGATTAATAAAATTGATAAACCCCCAGCCAAATAAAGAAAAAAAGGAGACATAAATTGCCAATATCAAGAATGAGAGAGAAGACATCCTTGCAGATCCTACAGACTAAAAGGATAAAAAGAAAACATGAACTTTATCCCAATGAATTTGACAACTTTGATGAAAATGACACATTTCTTGAAAGATCCAAAATACCAAACTCACTAAAGAAGAAATAGATAGCCTCAATAACCCAATGTCGATGAAGTTTTTTTAATTTAAATTTCTAGTTAAAAATCTCCCCACAAAGACTACAGTCCCAGACAGCTTCACTGGTGAATTCTACCAAATATCTAAGGAACATATCGTACCAATTCTACATAAACTCCCTGAGAAAATTTAAAAAGGAGAAAACACTTCCCACCTTAGTCTGTGAAGCCAGCATTAACCTGATACCAAAACCAGGAAATGACATTACAAGAAACAAAATCTACATACCAACATCTCTCATGAATATTGATGCAAAAATCCTTAACAAAATATTAGGCAATCAATTTGAACAGAGTATCAAAAGGAAAATATCTCATGACCAAGTGGGATTTATCCCAGGATTGCAAGGTTAATTTTGAATTGAATTCAAAATTCAATTAATATAATGCATCATATTTACAAAACAAAAAGGAGGCCAAATAATCATCTTAATAGGTGTAGAAGAAGCATCTGACAAAATTCAACACCAAGTCATAAAAATTCTCAGCAATCTAGGAATAGAAGGAAATTTCCTAAACCTGATAAAAATCATCTCACAAAAAACCTATACTTAATATCATGCTGTTATAAAAAAATTAAATGCTTTCTCCTTAAATTATGAACAAGGCAAGAATGTCTGCTCTCACACTTTTATTAAACATTGCACCAGAGGTCACACTGGGTGCAACATGACAAAAAAAGAAATTAAAGGCACACAGGTGGGAAAAAATGTAAAATTTATCTGCAGACAGCTTGATTGTCTATGAGGAAAACAAGGAATTTACAAAAAAGCAACTAGAAATGGTGAGAGCAAGGTTACAGGATACAAGGTCATTATACAAAACTCAATAATATTCTACTACATGGTAGTGATAAAAATGGAAATTTAAATTTAAAAAACAGTACCATCAAAAATGAAATATTTAGGGATAATTTAACAAAATTCACAAAAAAAAACAAACAACCCTGTGCCCTGAAAACTGTAAAACATTGCTGAAAGACAGTAAAGATGCAAAGAAAATAGATACTCCTTCTTTATGGATTAGAAAACTCAGTATCATTATGGTGTCAATCCTCCCCAAATTTATCTATTGATTCAATACAATTTCAGTGAAAATCCCAGCCACATAATTATAGAAATGGACATGCAAAGACTTAAAGTAGGCAAAACAATTTTAAAAAGGAATAAAGTTGGAGGACTTACACTGATTTCTAGAGTTACTATAAAGCTAGAGTGACTACAAAGTAGTCAATACAGAATTGTATTGACATGAGAATAGACATATAAATCAAGAAAACAGGATTAAGAGCTGAGAGAAGATCCATACATTGACAGTCAATCGATCATTGCCAAACGTGCCAAGATAACCCATCTTTAAAAATGTAGTGCTGGTATTAAATATCCATATGCAGGAAAATGAACTTGATCTGTACCTCCTACCATACACAGAAATTGTTTCAAAGTGGATTATAGACCTAAATATAAGAGCTAAAGTTGTAAATCTTGAAAACAAATTCTTTGTAACCATGGGTTAAGAAAAGATTTCCAAGATAAGACACAAGAAAGATGAATGAATCATAAAGAAAAAATTGACAAATTGAACTTCACAAAAATTGTAAACTTTTGCTCTCCAAAGAAAATCAAAAGGGAAGACATAGATTGGGAGAAAATATTTGCATACATGTATCTATATACCCAAGAGAAATGAAAACCTACAACCACACAAAAAACTGTATACCATGTTTATAGCAGCGTTGTTTATGATAGCTAAAAACTGGAAACAAACCCATTGTCAATCAACTGATGAATAGATAAATATGGTATCCCCATAGAATGAAATAGTATTTGACAACAAAAGGAATGAAGTATTGATGCACCTTGAAAACTTTATGCTAAGTGAAAGTAGCTAGTCACAAAATACTACATGTTCTATTATTCCACGCTATGAAATGTCCAAAATAGGCAAATAGATTAGTGGTTGTCTAGGGCTAGGAGTAGGGAAAGAATGGATAGTGACTGCTAATGGATATGGGTTTCTTTTCGGTATAATGAAAGTGTTCTAAGTTAGATTGTGGTGATATTTGCACAAGTCTGTGAAGATACTAAAAACTATGGAACTGTACACTTCAAATGGGTAACTTCATGGTACATGAATTACATCTCAACAAAACCGTTAAAAATATGTGTATATAACTTTTGAATATATAAAGAACAATACAACTCAATAATAAGACAACCCAATTTTTTTAAGTAAGCAAAATATTTGAAAAGATAACTTTACCAAGGAAGGTCTAGAGATGGGAAAAAAGCACATGAAACAATGATCAACATCATTAGTAATTAGAGAAAGGCAAATTAAAACCACAATGTGTATCGCTACACACCCAATAGAAGGCTAACATTCATAATTACTAAAATCCAGTAATACCAAATGTTGGCCAAGATGTAGAGCAACTAGAATTTCCAGGCATTGG